CAATCAATGCACACGAAAGGCCCGACTCCCTTCCTTTACAACCGGGGGGGGGGCGCGACCAAGGAAGGGGTTGGAAATTCCCCCCCCCCTTTTAGGGCGCAATTAAGTGGCTGATCCTGGAGGTGTCTTAACCCCATTTATACAGTTACTCCTTTGATGCGGAGGGGGGGGAGTTGCCATCTGAATTGCTCCTTCTATCACACCCCCCATCTTTTCCTAGTGGCTGATTAGGTCCTGCAGAGCCCGAGGGTTGGGAGTTCGAGTCCCCCACCCCTCCTTGACAGGGGCCGGACTGGATGGCCTTATGGGGGGGGGGTCGGGTCTCTTCCAGCTCTGCTGTTCTAAGAGGACCGTCTGTTGTAGGGCTGGCTGGCTTTCATCCAGGGAGAGGAATCCATCATCTGTTGTTGCTCTCGCCTCTTGTTTTGGGGAGTTCCTCTGGGCCGCTTGCTTGTCTTTAAAGGGAAATGCGGTGTTACTCATTGCATGGTCTCTGGCTCCCTCTAGTGGCCCCTTCTGGGGGCTTCATTAGAAATAGATGTTGGGGTGTTTTTTTTCTTTTAACACTTTTAATATAGATAGAGGGGGGGGTCCTCCTTGTACACAACCGATAGACGAGACCTCACAGAGAAGGCAGAATCCGACACAGACCGTCGTCCTACTCTCACCCAGCTCCTGATGGTTGGTTTTATTTTATTTTCTCCTCCCCTCCCTCGGGTCCCTCAAAGTCCACCGTCTGCGAGAAGATCATGGAGCTGCTGGGCCAGAACGAGGTGGACCATCGCCAGCGCAAAGTGGTCATCCTCAGCCAGGACCGGTTCTACAAGGCCCTCACGGCCGAACAGAAAGCCAAAGCGCTGAAGGGGCAGTACAACTTCGACCACCCAGGTACGGATCGGTGCCTCCCGCCCTCGCTCGGGAGACCTCAAGAGGGAGGAAAGGAACTCGCCCCCAGGACCCCCTCCTGTGGGTTAGTGGCCCTCCCTCAAGGGCACTGGCTTCTCTCGCTCACACCCCCCAACCCCCCCCCCCCAAAAAAATAGATACTTCTGTCAATGCAGGTATAAATACACATATAAAGTACATGTGTTTAAAAAATCAAAGCGGGATACATGCAAGGCCACAGAATAAAGAAGTCTTGCCTTGGTTCATCATTTGCAACGAGAGGAGCTGCTTCCAGCAGGCTGGCCTCGTGTTCTCCCACCCACTCACTCACCCCATAACTCCCCTCGCCGCCCTTTTCCTCTTGAGTAGAGCCCAGGACCCCCCAACCATCTCTCTCCCCGCAGCCTGTCTTAGAAGGTGCTTTCAAACTCCTTTTCTTGGTTCAAAACCCCCTGCAGATGCTTTTGACAACGAGTTGATGCAGACGACCTTGAAGAATATCGTGGACGGCCAGGCGGTGGAGGTCCCCACCTACGATTTTGTGACCCACTCCAGGTCAGTGTCCCGAGAGGCACTTTTATTATTTTCCTGCTGCCACAGCACGTGGCGGGTCAGCCGTTCTGGCTGGGGCTGGAGGTGGCCAGGCTGAAGAAGACTGCAAGGGCATCGTGAGAAGCAGTGTCCTGACTGCAATCATCATCACCATCATCATGGATTTCCCTGTGTGGGGCTGTTGACAGAAACCCAGTGTAGCCTAGAAAGTTTGCTTGACGCTGTTCGCACTCAGTAGGATCTGGGACGATGCCGATGGTCCCTTTTTCACTATACGGATTTGCACAATGGCGTCCCTGCCCCATCCGGGAGCCGTGATGATGCTGCCAGTGTTAGGCTCCATCATTTTGAGTTCTTAGAGGAAGTTTTTAGGATCAGGGAGAATTTTCTGTTGGAAGTTTCCTTGCTGTGCTGTAAGCTGGATCCATAGTATAATGGATTTCATCTTACTATGATTTTCTTTTAAATTACACTGGAAATCTTACCCAAAGGTAAGATGCTGCCCTTAGTCTCCTGGGATTTTGTGAACCCACAAAATAATTGTATTACGTCAGACGCATGGCTCTTGGGAAGCCATTGGATAGCAATGGCCACCCGCTCTGGCCACAGCAGTTAAGGGTCACGGATGATGGGAGTCGTGTTCCCCCCCCGACATTCAGAGGCTCGCCACAGCCCCCGTCTCCTTGCGTAATCCCGCTGTTCCGCCGCGTCTTGAGCCTCCGTCTCCCATTCTGTGCTGCATGCAGGCTGCCCGAGACCACGATGGTCTACCCGGCCGACGTGGTCCTTTTCGAAGGGATTCTGGTGTTCTACAATCAAGACATCAGGGACATGTTCCATCTCCGCCTCTTTGTGGACACCGACTCTGACGTCCGGCTCTCCCGGAGAGGTGAGGGTGGGACACGCGGCGGACGCTCGGCTCGGAGGGGGTGTCCCGCAGCCTCCTCGCTGGAAGGAGCCGGTCCTTCCTTGTGTGGCCCAGGGAGACCCAAGAGGTTCAGACACTGGGATTTGGGACCGAGCTGCGAGGGGATTATATATTATATTCCTGCAAATTAGGGTTATAGGCGACAGAACGACAGGTCTTCGACGCATTTCTGCAATACCTTTGTAAGCAAAGGCAGTAAAATTCTCAGTATGTTGTTAGATTGTACCGTCCGAGGTCCCTAAATGAATTTCCCATCAAAGATTCCTTCATTCTGAAGAACAAAGTGAACAGTTTCCTCCTCCGAAGAATAAGCTTTTGCCC